GTTCAAGGCTGTGGTGGCTGGGAGCGGCCACTGCACTCCAGTCTGGGCGACAGAGTGAGACTTCAACTCAAAAAAAAAAAAAGAAAAGCAGATACTGTTTCTGGTAGAAATCTGCGGAACATTTGGATTTTTCAGTCTCATATACAAGAGGATAATATTCCACCTTTCACAGAATTTCTACAACATAAGAGTTACGGTGCAGTTTGTGTGCTGTTTCACAAATTGAAATGATGACTCAGAAGAATTTTAAGGCTATGAAAAAAGAATTTAGTCTTATCCCTGAAGAGAGAATATATAATTTAAAAGTTTACTCTTACAATGGCCCCATAATTATTACACATTGTGTCTTTGTCTCTTCACCAAAACATAGCTAAACAGTAATTTCCTATTTAGTAAAGTTACAGGGAGTGAAATACAAATTTTGCAGGCAGCTTTTAGGATTTCTGCTATTGTGTACAAAAGTATATCTGTAGCTACATCCCTGGAATAAATATCCTCCGATAGGAAGCGTGCTTAAAGGGTTCCTCAGCCTGAATCACTCACCACCAGCATGATGGCTGCTGCCTGGTCTTAAGTCTTGCCACTTACTGGAGGGATGAGGAGGAGAGCTCAGAGGGAAGCACTTGTGAGAGTTTCTTTCATGGCACTTAGCAACTTCTCCTTATGTTTTTAAATTCTTGGGAAACCAAGGTGGCTTTTATCCATGATAAACACAAGTAGGACACAATTATCCCAGATCTATGCCTTTCTGTTGACACATCGACTCCAATTCAAAATATGTAACTGTCATCTGGTAGAAACCATGCTTTGATGCAGAGCCTTGCAGATTTTTTATTCATCCTGACAGGCTGAATTCTGAATATATTTGAATAGGGTGTGCATGCATGCCTTTCTGGCATTTGTACCATAATGGAATTGCTAGTTATATAACATATGCATCTTCAACTTTGCTAGGTAAAACATTCCATTGTTCATTAAATTCTATTTTTCACCTTTGATGAATCGGAATAAAACTCCCTCTTTTCATTATCAATATTATTTGGTTTTGTGTTTTTTCATGATCTAGCTTTCTAGAGGCTTTAGTCAATTTTCACTTTGTTATCCTCCGCATTGTTTTTTTGTTTTCTATTACGTTTAATATCTGCTCTTACTATAAAATATTGTCTTTCTTCTTTCTTTGTGCTATGTTGTCTTCGCTTACACTCCATAAGTTTTCATGTGATAAATTATCAGTCAGTCCTGAGTCCCTTACTAATTTCTAAAGGATATAATTTTTTAAATTCTTTGTGGCAGGTCCCAGATTATTACTTGCATGCATTTATGGATCCAGGCCTTGTCATTTATGGATCCAGATCTTGTCAATAAATGGCATGAAGTGAACCTCCAAAAGCATAACCCCATGGGTTTTAAGGCACATTGAACTGTGGATAGCACGGTAGGTGTTCATTGGCTGAGAGAATGGCAGTCTTGTGCATTAGTGCTTGCTGGCTGAAAGTGAAACAGCTTCTCCTTGGATGAACACAGAAAATAGCACCAATACTGGGAAAAAGAACATTTAGTACCAATGACCTTTAATATATTATGTATATCATTTTCTAAAATAAAAAAATTTTACACACACACACACACAACTTCTGTTTTACACATTAGTATCCACATGTTTAAAAATAATTGAGACCACATAGTATGAACATAGGGCACTGTCAAACAGGGCATGCATAAATTCTTCTCTAGAGATGTTGACCTTTACTTATGCATCTCTTTCCATGGGAAGATCCCGGCACACATCACATTTTGTCACTGCTGCTTCCCAGCTGCTGAGAATCAAGGCTTTCCTGGAAATCTAGTCTTACAGTCACCCTGAACCTTGCATTGACCTGAAACACTGAATTTAGCTCTCTCTGTATAGGTGTCAACTTTACAGAGTAACTAAAAGGGGCACCCTTGCCAGAGTCTGGACCTGTTAGCATTTGATCTGAAAACTATGATTTAGTGGACAGAGATAGGCTCAAGTGTTCTACCCTGTCACTGCATCTTTATATAATCAGAGCTAATATGTCCTCTCTCAATGGAAGGAAGATGGAGAAAATTATGGGTTGGAACTCCTGTCTTGGATCTTCATTCTGCTTCAATTTTGTACCTTGGCAAGTTAACATCAAGGTTTTGATATAAATCCATTCATTCCATAGAGATTCACTGAATTCTCACTATGTGAGAGGTTCTAGGACACTCTAGTAGATATAGCTTACGTGATCGTCAAAGTTCTCCCTGGCAATTACATTCCATAATTAATTGTATGCCAGAAATTCAGGACTTTTCTCTTCTGCTGTGAATCTTTCTCATAACTCCTCATCTCTGTCTCTTGTGCTTACCACTCCTACTTACAGGAGTAGATTCAGTAGACCAGCACCGTGGTCATCTTTTAGCTGATTTGATTTCTCTTAAACTCTTCGGGTCTAGTGGGATTTTTAAAAGGTGTCACCTCCTCATTTTATTTTAAAAATAGGTAGATTATATAAATAATAAAAATGTTGTAAATTCTCCTACAGACATGTAGATTTAGAAGTATTTAATTTGTGTAGTCCTTTACAATTTACAAGGTGTTTTTCACATACATTCTTTATGCAGTCCTCATGATAATCTAGTGAAACAAAACTGGCAATATTTTTATTCCCACTTAGCATATAATGAAATTGATACAGAAAGAATAAGTAAACTACCAAAGCAAGTTGTCTGTCTTGTCAGTGGCTTCTACTATACCTTATTTAAGCAAATATGGCCAGAGCAATTATGCCTATAGATTAGATTTTGGACCAAAGTTATTTTTCCCGACATTATGTTCTTGACCACCTACACACTAGAAGTTTAAACTTAACACAGCTTATGAACCACATAGTAATGATTTGTTGGCTAATAATTAGACAACGTTTTATAAAAATAGCTCCTCAACG